AGCAGCAAAGCGAAATTAAAATGCGCCACCTACCGGCGGTAGACAGATTTAAGCGTTATGGGCGTTAGAGTGGGCGTGGCAGAATTTTTTTTGGATCAATCGATAGGTATTGACGACACCAATACATTTCAGTTAAAATTTTTTATCTAGCATGCAAATTGTGGGCGTCACAGGTTTTCGCGGTTTGTGGGCGTTTAAGTGGGCGTGGCAAACTTTTTTTTAGGTCAATCGATAGGTATTGATGAGAACAATACATTTCAGTTAAAATTTTCTATCTAGCATCAAAACTGTAGGAGTTACAGTTTTGGGCGGTTTGTGGGCGTTAGAGTGGGCGTGGCAGTCTAATGAAACAAACTTGCGCTGCGTAAGAAGCTCAGGAATCTGTACGCCAAATCTCAATAGCCTAGCTCTCATAGTTTCCGAGATCTCAGCGTTCATCCGGACGGACAGACAGACGGACAGACGGACAGACGGACAGACGGTCAGACGGACAGACGGACAGACGGACATGGCTAGATCGACTCGGCTAGTGATCCTGATCAAGAATATATATACTTTATGGGGTCGGAAACGCTTCCTTCTGCCTGTTACATACTTTCCGACGAATCTAGTATACCCTTTTACTCTACGAGTAACGGGTATAACAAGGAAGAACGCTATAGTCGAGTACCTCGACTATCAGATACCCGTTACTCAGCTAAAGGGACCAAAGGGAAATGGAGATATGCAAGCAGCAAATCGAGATTAAAATACGCCACCTACCGGCGGTAGACAGATTTAAGCGTTATGGGCGTTAGAGTGGGCGTGGCAAAATTTTTTTTGGATCAATCGATAGGTATTGACGAGACCAATACATTTCAGTTAAAATTTTTTATCTAGCATAAAAACTGTGGGCGTCACAGGTTTGGGCGGTTTGTGGGCGTTTGAGTGGGCGTGGCAATTTTTTTTTCGGGTCACTCGATAGGTATTGATGAGAAGAATTCACTTATGTTAAAATGTTTATTCTAGCATCAAAACTGTAGGAGCCACAGTTTTGGGCGGTTTGTGGGCGTAAGAGTGGGCGTGGCACATTGCCGAAAGAAACTTGCGCTGCGTAAGAAGCTTAGGAATCTGCACGCCAAATCTCAATAGCCTAGCTCCCATAGTTTCCGAGATCTCAGCGTTCATCCGGACAGACGGACAGACGGACATGGCTAGATCGACTCGGCTAGTGATCCTGATCAAGAATATATATACTTTATGGGGTCGGAAACGCTTCCTTCTGCCTGTTACATACTTTCCGACGAATCTAGTATACCCTTTTACTCTACGAGTAACGGGTATAAAAATATAAATGTAGATGTAATCCAAGATGGAGCCATTTTTGTAAATGGAGAAAATACAGTTAATGACACTCATTTAAATAGTTCATATTTAATTACTTTTAATGGCACCTCTATAATTAATAATATTTCCTACACCAATGTAGACAATAAGATATTGAAATACATCACAGCTCGAAAATATACAGATTTTTTAATATCCGAATATATTATATCTAATGATTCAGAACTCTCATTTGATAATATTAACATTATAAATCCATTTATTTAAATTAAACAAACTCAAATACCAGTTACGTTAATATTTATCATATCCAAATTTATATATTTAATTTTGTTTTTTTTTTTAAATGCTTTGCTATTTATTTATTGAATCTTCTCCCTTTGGATACTAACAATAAGTGTATCAAATATTAGACTAATTAATCTAACTCACAGTCATATGACTGATGTTGTGCTAAAGGGGCCCGAAAGTTATAGCTGGCCTGGCAGGTCGTTCCGTTGTAGACGGGATCGGCTGGAAACCCAAGTCAAGCCTCTTGCGAGGCGATTGGGGTGCACATAGAGTTTTTCGTTGTGTAGGACGCTTTTTGTTTGTCTATTTTATCTTTTACGGTAAGAATGCTTAGGTCCCTGTGGATGTTTTGGTTGCGAATATACCATGGTGCCCCAGTGATAGTTCGCAGGATTTTCGATTGAACGCGCTGTATAATGTCTATGTTGCTTCTGCTGGCGTTCCCCCATAGCTGGGAGCCATATGTCCAGATGGGCTTGAGAGTGGAGTTGTAGAGCCAAACCTTGTAGTCCAGACGCAGGGGCGAACGAGCGTTAAGAATCCAGTGGAAGCTGCTGGCCTTTAGTTTTAGATGTACTTTCTTGCGTTCGATGTGTCTTCCTCAGGTTAGTCGTCTGTCAAGGTGGACGCCGAAATACGTTACATCGTTGACTTGGGGAATCTGCGTATTATTCAATAATAGTGGAGGGCATGTTTGCCTGTTGAGAGTAAACGTTATGTGTTTACATTTTTGTTCATTTATTTTAATCCGCCAATCAGATAGCCACCTCTCTACTACGAGGAGATGGTTTGCTAGCTGTGTTGTGGATCGGCCTGGGCCCCTCGAGCGACTTAAAATTGCGGTGTCGTCAGTGAACGTAGATGTTGTTAGCTGCTCGTTCGTGGGAATATCCGCTGTGTATAGGAGGAACAAAGTAGGCCCTAGCGCGCTTCCTTGCGGGACTCCAGCTTTGATAATGTAGTCATCGGATGTTGTTGTATTGCACCTTACTGCGAAGGTCCTGTTGTATAGATACGACTCAAGAAGCTTGTGAGTGTAATCAGGTAAGTGTGTTTTGATTTTGTGCATGAGGCCATCTAGCCATACTCGATCGAAGGCTTGAGATACATCGAGGAATATTGCGCTGCAGTATTCCCGATGCTCAAAGGCTGTGCGTATTTCTGATGTTATTCTGTTAACTTGTTCGATTGTTCCATGGTTTTGACGAAATCCAAATTGATGAGCAGGGATAACATTGTGTGCTCCTAGATATGGTGTTATGCGAGTTAGAAGGCATTTTTCGAAAAGCTTAGACAGACACGATAATAGACTAATTGGTCTGTAGGATGACGGAATTGTGTGGTCTTTTCCCGGCTTCGGTATCATAAAAATAATAGATTTTTTCCATTTTTTCGGATAGTAGCCGAGAGTTATAATCCCATTGAAGAGCTTACAAATAACCTCAATGGCAGAGTTTGTAGGTTCAATTAACATTTTTGGGGTTATTTGGTCACCGCCAGGGGCCTTTTTCGGTTTCAGTTCCCCAATGACTTTCGCGATCTCCTTTGGCTGAAACAATGGTGGTAGGGGAATAGATTCAGATTCGACTTGTGGTAGGAAAAATGAACCAGTGGCAGGGTTCGGCTGGAAGACGTTTCTTAGATGTAAAGCAAAAGTTTCGGCTCTATCTTCGTCGCTGCGGGCCCAGATGCCAGATGAGTTTCTTATTGGAGTGACTGTTTCGATTGGAGAGCTTAGATTTGGATGAGCCCTCCACAGAGGATGTTTTGAACTGGTTGGCGATAGTTTTTTAATGTACTGCAGCTGTGCGTTTTCTGTTTCTTGCTTTAGAGCTCGATTTAGTGAGCGAGTGGCTTCCTAAAGACGTTGTTTTGATGACGGCGATCTGTTGGTTTGCCAGGCGCTTCTTTTCTAGGACCAACCGTTCAATTTGCAGATTAGTTTTGAAGTGGTTGGTTTGCACGTCCCTGCCTTGCGGTGTTGAGATAGTGGCTGCCTCCACGAATACTTCTTCAAGAGCACCGGTAGAGCAGTCGATGTCCGCTTCGATGTTGAAGTGAGGGGTTAACTTGATGTGAGAGCTTACATACTTTTTATATTTTAACCAGTTGGTTCTGTGCGACGTCAGCCTGAGGGGGTGATCTGTGGTTTTTGTGCTTTGAAGAAGAGTTATTAGCACTGGCGAATGGTCTGACGACAAATCCGAAAGCGCTTTGGCGCTTATTATATTATATATTTAATTATTATGATTATAATTAAATTCAGAAAATTTTTAATATTTAAACCAAGGCAAATTCAAATAGAAATCCAACCAGAAAGCAATATCTCCGATATTGAGATAAATAAATAATAATAATATGGGGGGAGCTATATGACATTATATAGGGGCTCTTACCCAATTTATAAACAACTTTGAGCCGAGAGCTAATTTTCAAATAACTCTGACAGACCCGAGATAAATCCGTGGTCAGCTATTTCTGTCAACCAGGCCTCCAAATCATTCCCACCCAGATCAATTTCACGCAGTCCGATTCAAACGGATGCTGTAAACATCCAAACCGATATTGTAAGCAATCGGAGTCCCAAGCGAGCCCTGAGTCCGCTAACGTAAACAAAAGATCCCCAAAGCGGTCCCTAAACTCCGCTAATGTAAACACCAATTTCCGGCCAAGATTGGACTTCGAATTTCATTGGCAAATTGCATTATCCTATTTTCCGACTCTCTTGACTCATTCTCTTTATCAATTTTTGGGGATAAATCTCTTAAGCCGAAGTTTGATTATTGATCATTGAACTAGAGAGCAGGCAGTCCGATTTTGAGATCCGAATCGAGCAGTAGAACAACTCGAGAAAAAGTACAAGAGCAGTGCATAAAATATGTTCGACCTATTGAAAAATTGTAATAGTGAATACGTGGTTGTTAAAAATAAAAATAATTTTTTTTAATCAATTCACTAGTGAGAAACTTAATTTGCAATGTAAACGCTGGGTCGTAACCAAAAACTAAAACCAACTGCATACTTACATACATTCAGAATAATTAGAGATAAGTATGAACAAGCAAAACGGCAAACGGAAGGGCGTCTTCTTCATCCATTCGCATTTGTACATTGGTGGTCAAGAAAATATGTATGTGCATAAGAACATAAATATTTCTTGTGTACCGATGTTTTGACAATAAGATATGTTCTTATAACATATTAATGTAATAAAATAAAATAAATATTACTAAATTGACACATACAAGTTATTAAATTTAAGGGCTTATATGTACATATTTTCTTATTTTCTTCCCCATTACTTTGACCTCTATTGTAAAGTAACGGCACGCGACAGATTTTGTCCGTCCTTTTTGCACACATGCATATGTATGTATGTATATACGAAATATTTTGACTCTCCGCTTTGTAGCGAATCCCGCGATCACTTCGAAGCAAGCGGTTCTCCTGATCGGATGTAAAAGTGATTAATAGAGCTCGATGGACAAGTGTTCATTTAAGTGTAATAAAAAAGTGAAAAGTACAGAAAAAAGGTGAGTCAAATAAAAATACAATAATTACTTAATATTAAGGCATGTGCATGTCCACGTTCTTTTTGTCGCATTTTTCCTTTTTGTGTGTCTTCTTTGTTGTGCTCGTTATTATTTCGTAAAAATTTAGATAATACATTTAACGAAATAAGCAAAGCTCAAAAGAAAATTACAACTAAAAACAATAAAATATATACGATTGGGTAATAAACATGAAATGGATAAAAAATATGCGGAAGAAATGAAGAATATAAAGGAAATTAAGTGAAAACCGCAGTGGCGTCGCAGTCGTTTCACCTATTTCTTTATAATATTTTTTAGTTCTTTCACGTGATTTTTCTCTAAATCTAACTAATTTTGAATTTAAAAAAAAATAAAAACGAAATAAATTTAAACTATATTTTGGTCTTATTTAAATCCCTTTATATAAAAAAACCTACTCGAAACTTATTATAAAACTACTTAACTTTTTCTTTATAGATACAAATTTTTTTCAACATATTGTACCTTGAGAAAGAAGCAATTTTATCTAGTAAATGGGACACATTTAAGGAAAAGGTTTTTTGCTTTTACGAAGAGCAAATACAAAACAAAGAGCAACTTAAACTATTAAAGACAGTTCAGAAAACTGTATCACTTGGTATTGTATAATTTTTTTTACATATTTAAATTTTATCTTCTTATGATAAGCTTGACTTTTTCTAAATTATGCCATTACCAAAAATCTAATAACATATTCTTTTTCACAGATTGCAAGGACTACATTTACACTTTATTGCTCACAAAGGAACCAACAAGCGAAAGATATTATCACTACTAGGACTCGCAGGAAACTTTTGTACGCACTTGCAGGCGTACGAATGTGGCAAATCACAAAAATGTGTGATTATAAACAACATTAAAGACTTTACTTGCTGCCCTAAGCATATGTATCATATTAATTCTAAAAGGTTCGTTAAGTAAATATGTATTAAAAACAAAAGTAATGATAACGTGTTAGCATGGTAAAAAAAAGGATGTAAGCAAAACAGTTGTTTGGATGATATGTTTAAGTTTATTTTCAATAAAAACACATTGCATACTTATTTGTGGCTTTTTTAAATATAAATCACGCTTGTTTTAAACTACGGATCGGTTTAAATTGAATATGCACCATAATAGTATGGCTTAAATACTATATTTAAATCAAAAATAAAGTACAGTTCTTTTAACGGGGATTATACTTAATTTAAATAAAATTTGTATTTATATTAAAGTTCATCCCAGTCTGTTTTAAATATGAGAATTATTACAGTAACATTTACGATGTTTTTTCTACCATTTTCCGAAAAGTATACGTAAAAAAAATTTCAGACAAATCAAAAATGTGAAATTTTTTTTTTTTTCCAAATCCGTTCGGTTTAAAAAAGAACGGCCCATATATTAATACTTTTTCTATTTATTTCTCTGCGAGAGTGCAACCATTAGTAGCAAGTCGAACTGCAAGGTAGAAACTACAATCAACGGAATAAAGAATATAAAAATTTTGCGAATAATAACCGTTGCAATTATTTTAATGTTCGGTTTTAATTCAGGGAACTGTAATCCTATTCCTGATCCTGATTTTGCTTCTGTTTTGAATATCATCAAAACAAATACAAAAAAGTGTGGAATTTAATTTTACATTATCGAACAATGAGGTGTTAAAAGTAAACCTCTCATTCGAGTTTATGAGTCAACAACAACAAAAACCGACGAGTTGATTGAGTTGACAACTAAATCACCAACAACAGCAGCAACAACAAATTTAACACCATCAGCAGCAACATCAACAACAAAATCAGCTAACGATGAGGACGTTGATTACAAGGACGATGAGGCTGATATTAAATTTTCGCCAGATGAGGCAATCGAATTGTTTCAAAGAAACGTAAAAGAAAAAGAGAAAAATATTGGAGGAATACTGAATGCAACAGCAACAGTCTATAGGCACTTTAATCTACAACATAGTCGGCTATATCAGTTCATTGTTTGTACAAAAGCAATTATGAGAAGGAAACTTTAAATATAAAATGCACCCAATATTTTGAGACAACAATAATTGAACGTGTATTGGAAAACGATGAGAACAGTTGTCGAAAAAAGCCCCGACACCCTGCAACAAGTTATTCTTAACGAAGACATCAACAACTATGTCCAAACTGATCAGATGACAATCACTTGGGAGAGGGAGAGAGAGTGCGAGAAGTCGATGACAACAACAGACGCAGACAATAACCGATAATCATTACAGAGCCGGTGCCAAAGAGAGTACCATAAAAATTATAGTCTTTATATCTATACTGTAAAAGTAATTAAGACAGTTTATTTGTTTGTTTAAAAGACTTTATTTCGTGGTTCTTCACATGCTTGTGTTCTTGGCACAGTTCCGACGAAAAAGTGTTTTGTTTCATCCGCGATTGCCACACATTTTTTACGTTCTGCGTTGCCAGATCGCATACTTAAAGATAGTATTTTATATAATGTACATAGTTTTACAATAAACACTTAATCTTATCTAATCATCTAAGTAAATGGCAACCTTTCCAGCTCTAATCATATCATCAAACACCCTATTTAGGCATCTTTGAAATTTGGCTGGTGCGTTTCTCAGACCGAATGGCATTTTAATATATTTGAGTTGACCCATGGGCGTTACGAACGACGTAATACTTTACAAAATCCTCGTGAACTTCTATTTGATGAAAAGCACTTTTTAGATATAGCAGTGTAAATATTGCTTTGTTTGCAAGAGTATCTATCAGATCCTCGATCAACGGTGAAGGGTAGTATATTGTCAACACATAGTCTAATATTACCTGTCTTTTTTCTAACCAATACAATTGGAGAAGCAAACTCTGACTGACTTGACCTAATTATTTCATTCTTTATTATCTCATCTTATATTTCTTGGACTTTTTCTTTTTCTGCGTACTATAATCAGCGGGTCTTATAGTGGAAAGGCTTTTCGTTATTAAGAATAAATTTTAAATGGCATTTAGTTTCCGGCTTCTTAGGGATTTCAGTATTTAAATAATATTGCTTAAAGAATTGTTGTAACTTAAAATAATATTTTAAATGTATGTTAGTGTTGTTAATAATTAATGTATTTTCCTCTTTATCTAATTCAATTGCCATTAGGTTTCGACATTCACTTTCTTTTTCGGACATATGTTCTTCATTATAGTTCAAGTACAACTCGTTGTACTCACTTACATATTTGTTGTTGGGTAATATTTCTTCCTTGTCGTATAGAAGCCTAATTAATTCTTCCATATTTTGTTTACTTTCGTCTTTACTTACTTTGTTTTCTAATCTTAATTTACTTTCTTTTATTAACACAAATCTTTCCTTTTCTAAAAAATCTGTTCACAATATTGCAGGATATTCCATTGTTTCATTAGGTACAAGAACAAAATCTTTATTAAGTTCTTGGTTTTCAAGTATGATTTTACATTTAACTATTCCAATGATAATCAGTTTACTTTTATTTATCCCATAGTTGTTTTTAAGAAAATTATAACTCTCGATAAATTCGGTTGGTACATGTTCTTCACGTATAAAAGAAATGGGACTTCGCATGTCGATTAGGGTTTCTAATGAGAGGAAAAGATTGTTAATGTGTTTAGTAAATAACTCCTCTATTTTTCTTACAAATGAATTTGAATTGTTTGTGCTCTCCAGTGGGTTGATATTCTTGCGTTTCGGACAGTTGATTAAAGGATCCAGTTTCCCTCTTGCTTTCCTTATGAATTGCAAATATAGCACTTAATTACAATTGCAGATTTATTGGTATCTGCCTGGAGCGTAACTTTGTTGTTGTTGTTGTAAAATTCTGCTTCAACTGAATTTTCTTAAAAGCGTCCAATATCTCAGCTGTATTTGAAAATCGTTGCATTTTTGACTGGTTGCGTAGCGCATAATCCGGTATTCCGTCAATCAAGTGCTCCAGTAGTTCTTCTTGACTTATATTTATTTTATTTGATAATATTAGTTTTTCATATAAAATATTCTTGAAATGAGTTGCAAGTTGAGGCTCACGATTATCAAAAATGTTTTCCATTTCATAAAGCAATTCATTTACTGGCATTGTCATCGACTCCGAGCAGCTCGTTAGCCATTTGGCAGCTTTTCCTTTTAAACGATTGGAAAGTTGATAAATATTTTGCACAGATATAATTTGCTTTTTAAATACCTAATCTATCTTGTTTATATGTTTATCTTATAATCTTATTTTAAATATTGGTTGTTGTTTAAGATATTAACAAACAATTATCCTACCGTTCGTCCATCCTGACATTTAATTGACTCGATTACAACTGTATCTAAATTTTCAGTTTTCTTAAATTGTATCTTGGATTTTTTTTGTCCTGTTACTTTCAACATTTCTGCAATATTTATTATTGTTTTTAACCTCTAATTCTTCGTTCTCGCTTTCGTATGTCGTATCGGCAATTACTTGTTGAACTTTTCGTAAACGTTGAATTAATTCTGGGTTAAGGTTGATTATATGTCTTTAAAATACGCTTAAAGCCGTCAATTGTATACTTTTCATAATCACTTCCATCCATTTTGTTTAAAATCAAAGTTATTTATTATCAGGTATATGTTTTTATTTTATTTGGTAGGCATTTTGCTTTTTTAAGTTCTAAGCCACTTCTGAATATTGTAATAGTAATTTAGACAGTTTATTTGTTGTTTTAAATGATTTTATTTCGTGGTTCTTCACATGCGTGTGTTCTTGGCACAGTTCCGAGGGAAAAGTTTTTTTTTCATCCGCGTTTCAAGGCTGCCATACGTTTTTAACGTTCTGCGTTGCCAGATCGCATACTTCAATTTAGTTTTTTATATACTGTACATAGTTTTACAATAAATACTTAATATATCTTGTTTATATGTTTATCTTATAATCTAATTTTAAATATTAATTGTTGTTTAAGATATTAACAAAGAATTTTCTTACAATACATATATTTATATATACATACTTTATTCATGCATATACTTAAGCACAATTTTGTAAAACTAGTTGTTAAGCAATCGCCCCAGGGGAAAGTATATAATCACACAATAAATTAATAAAATAATAAAATGAAAAAAATTGTGATTTTACTATTGTTTGTACATGGGTTCGGAATAGCGCAAGTAAAAAGTGAATATGATATCAAAATTCCCTATCAAACGGAAATTAAATACTCTAGATTTGATCTCGTTGTAAACGAAACATTGACTTTCAAAGTAAATTTAATTTTTTGAATTAAATTCCGCATTTGTGAAAGTGATTCAACAACAACAACACCAAAATTAACTGCCAATAGTTTTAAACGAGATGTAGTATACCAGCGAGTACCACATTCTTTTCCCACGGTCGATTTTGCAATTGAAAATTTTTGCCGAGACTTAAATAAAAAATTACAGGATATTGGTGGAATAATTGGAGCGCCCACTGCGGTTTGTAGATACTTCAAGTTACAATACTCGAGAAGTGTTGTCAATATGCGATGTTATTATGATAGTGATTTCAAAATATTTATTGTCATCCCTATAAGGCTGCAAGCAATGTCAATCAGCGAGACCTGTTAGAGAAAAGTTATTTGTTTGAACGGGACTTTAACAATTAGGATGAACCCAACCCCACGTCCCAAAACTTTCAGTCAGAGATACATCGGAACGTATAACATTCATGATTACGAACAGGTTTTGCATATGAATATTCTATAAATACGAGAACAATAACAACAACAACAACGCAAAAATATGACGTTTACAAAAAAAAATTATTGATTTCATTCAAAAACATCTACACATTCTGTCGCCTGAGGATAAGAAAAAACTTCAAAATATACATATGCGATTAAAAAATATTAAAAATTTGAATTTGAAATATGATCAAGTAGATTGTGAAAAAAAATACAACAACATTCTAAGTACATTCAACATAATTTGATTAATGAACATGACGCATTACAAATTATGACTTCCTATCAAATTTTGTAAGTATACCAATAATATATAAAAATAAAAATATATATATTTTTTTTTTTAAGGTCGACATCATCTATCTGAATAATAGGAGTCTTCCTGTTGTGTATTAGAGAGAGAGTATGGTTCATTCTCAGTTAGATTAATTTTTCCTTGTTCAGTTTAATAATTTCCTGTGCAAATTTTGTATTACTTTGTATACAAAGGAAATTTATAAATTAACCAAAGAGAATGCGATCTGTATTGCTTAGTTTCGCTATAAAATTGGTGTTTGAAATTCGATTTAGTGTGTTCTTAGTTCTTAATTTAAATCAAATCGAAACCACACATCTGGGGTTAAGATGCATATCCAACCACGAAAAAAAAAACCACCACAATTCATCAGATAACAACCTCTCCAAATAAATACAGCTTTAGAACCAAATTCTAAGTTCGTTAATATATATATTTTTTTTTTTTGGTTTTCCTTTTATTTGAAACAAATTGCAGCATAGCACATTCGGGGTGGGAAAATAAAATTAGCACAACCATCCAACCACAAAAAAAACTCAGAATTCTTCAGATAACAACCCCTAAAGCTTATGTATTTGACAATGTGACTGGGTCCGAACAGACAGAATTCAGGCCGCCAGAGCGCAAGCTAAACGCCGCATAGAACACGTCCACGTCGTCATAGCACTTGGTACGACCCAGCATATAGGCGGCGAATCCGCCCGCTATCATCCACTGGTCAATGCCTCGTTCCCGGATTGCCTGCCTCACTGCGGCCAGGATGGCAGAGCACCTCAAGTGATCACTGAGGCTGAACATTCAACTGCGGCGTACTGCTTTTGTCGAAAGTGTAAGAAAATAAAATGACCACACCATCCAGTCTAAAAAATCATAGATAGCAATTCCAAATAAATAGCGCTAGGCAGTCAAATTCAAAGTTAGTTTAAAATTTATTTCATTCGACTCAATCCATAAATACGAAAACGAGAACGAGGACGAGAACGAGGACAAAATGGATCAACAACATCAACGCCAGCAACAGCAAGAAAAGCATTGATTGTAAATGCAGTTTCAGCAACAGCCACGGTTACGAAACCCCCGATGAGGATGACGACCAGCCTCCGCCGAAAGACGCAGTAGTTCGTTGAATTGATTGTAAATGCAATTGCAGAAACAGCCATGAAGAAGAAGAAGAAGACAGCGCTTTCCAAATTCTCACCCAAGTATCGGAGGATAACGTTGATAAAAGCACTCATGTAGGTTACCATAACCATACCTGCTGCGCCTAGACAGAAAAAGTCAAAAACTCGCAAGATTTTTAAATAACAATTTTTTTGAATAAAATGTATATGTAAAATTACAATTAATTATTCATATACTTTTTATTCACATTTTATAAAAAAGCAACAGTCAATAATGACTAAATCTAACATTGTTGGTAATGATGATGCTGATGGCGAGGTTGACGAACTAAAAAAAGAAATAGACGAATTTTGCAAGGAGTTTGAAGATATACTTTCTGACACTGATTTGAAGGCTTAACGCACTATCAGCAAACTGTTCATGGTGGGTGCTTTTAATATAATGCAATGTTATCGCTGTTTGAGAGAGAGAATGACAAAAGCTCTCGACAAAATGTAAATATACACGAGAGCAGTGCGATAAGTACTTAGCTTCACCGCCCGATGACGTCACTATCGCAAGAGAAATTTACTATAGTGTAGTACATTCTCGTAGACGGTTACTGTCGAAATTTCAGCCGAATCGGACTCGTAATTTTCTTTTCACTGCGTGTGGAATCGGACGTGTCCGCGGATTTTAGAAAAATGGAGAAAGAGCAATATCGGTCTGTGATTCGATTCTTGTTTTTGGAAGGGAAATCGCGCAGCGAAATCAAAGAGCGCTTGGATGCTGGGTACGGTAACTCTTCTCCTTCGATGGCGACCGTCAAAAATTGGTTTAACGAGTTTCAACGTGGTCGCACGTCGGTTTTTGATGAGCCACGTCTAGGTGCCCCGAAAACGGCTACCACGGAAGATAACGTGACAAAAATCCACGATCTCGTATTGGCAGACCGCCGATTGAAGATACGCGAGATAGCTGAGACAGTAGAAATGTCAAAAGGCCGCGTGGGTCATATCCTGCATGAAATGTTGGGCATGAGAAAGCTGTCGGCGCGATGGGTGCCGCGTTTGCTCACTCCGGACAACAAACGCAACCGTGGGACCACTTCAGAGCAGTGTTTGACGCTGTTTAAGCACAATCCGAAGGAGTTTCTGCGTCGTTTCGTGACCGTCGACGAAACATGGATCCACTGGTACACACCAGAGGAAGGCGAAGACTGTCCCATCGGCCGGAAAGGTGATGGCCACCGATTTTGGGACTCACAAGGTGTGATCTACATCGACTATCTGGAGAAGGGCAAAACGGTCACAGGGCTGCACTATGCCGAATTATTGGTCCGACTCGCCGACTCGCCCATTTGGCGAAAAAAAAGTGCTCTTCCATCATGACAACGCACCGGCTTACACTTCCGCCCTCGCCAAGGCCAAATTTGTCGAATTGGGCTACGAACTGCTACCCCATCCACCATATTCTCCAGGTTTGGCCCCGTGTGACTTTTTTTTGTTTCAAAACTTGAAAAAGTCACTCCCTGGACAGAAATTGGCGTCGAATGAGGAGGTCGTCACCACAGAGGCCTGTTTTGCAGACCCCAAGAAAACGTATTTTTCAGACGGGTTAAATAAGGTGGAGCATAGCTGGGTCAAAAAATTCCAAACTTGACAATAGGGGATCGTATTGCACTGCGCAACGATAATTCATTTGGCTCACGGAAGTGTAAAGGGGAGGGAATATACGCGATGAAGCGATTGCTGAGTTTGTGGAGCTGTGCGAACTGACGACTTACGGACTCGTTGTGTTGGGAAGGAGAAAGTCTTACCAAGATTCCACAACTACAATACAACGAAACTTATGGTGGCAAAATGGTATCTGAACATTGAACGACCCGCCATTGGACCAAGTCATTTTTTAAATAATAGTCTAGTATTTGGCTTCTATTAACCTATCGGGTATCACAAAATTGCTTATTAATTGCTCGCACTAATATGAAATGTACAGTCTGATATAAAATGCTTTTATGAATATAATAACAATTTAACAGATAGTCACTCTTGGTTAACAAAAGTTTTTAAAAATAATTAGTCGCTTAGCAGAAAATCAGTTTTTATTGATATTAATTGCTTTTGCTTAAATCCTTTAGCCTAATGCACTTGTTTGAAGGAGGAATCCTGGAAAAGATGACCACCGCCGAGTACGCAACACAGGCCCGCAAGATTTCAAAGATGGACCCTCAGCACTATAAAGAGGTTACAAAAAATGATAAGAGCAGCGCGAATATGAAAAGCAGTCGTCCCCAAGGACGCGACAGTGAAAATATCAGCCCCCTTAACTTGGGTATGCTACAGGGCGCTTTTATCGCATTATCTGTAGGCGCACTAGCTGCAGGTGCTGATATCTGTTGATTCATTTGGTACAAAACTCAACGAGGTCTTCTTTTGTGCCTAGGTGTCATTCTACTGCTTGAACTAATTTGTAATCAACTTTTTCGTGATCAGAAGCAATTATGGCGTCTTTAATGGGATTGACAGCACGAGACAGTGTAAGTCCGTGAAAATAAAAAACAAAAAGTAAAAAAACAGTTTATAATAAAATCTCAGCTTATTGACTATTTTTATACATGTTATTCGTAGAGTAAAAGGCTATATTGTATTCGTCGAAAGGTAACTAACAGTCAGAAGGATGCTTTTCCGACCCTATAAAAAATATATTTTCCTGATCAGGATCATTAGTAGAGTCAATCTAGCCATGTCTGGTCTGTCTGTCTGTCTGTCTGTCTGTCTGTCTGTCCTGTCTGTCTGTCCTGTCTGTCCTGTCTGTCTGTCTGTCTGTCTGTCCTGTCTGTCTGTCTGTCTGTCTGTCTGTCCTGTCTGGTCTGTCTGTCTGTCTGTCTGTCTGTCTGTCTGTCTGTCTGTCCTGTCTGTCTGTCTGTCTGTCCTGTCTGTCCTGTCTGTCTGTCTGTCTGTCTGTCCTGTCTGTCTGGTCTGTCTGTCTGTCTGTCTGTCTGTCTGTCTGTCTGTCTGTCCTGTCTGTCTGTTCTGTCTGTCTGTCTGTCTGTCTGTCTGGTCTGTCTGTCTGTCTGTCTGTCTGTCTGTCTGTCTGTCTGTCTGTCTGTCCTGTCTGTCTGTCCTGTCTGTCTGTCTGTCTGTCTGTCTGTCTGTCCTGTCTGTCTGTCTGTCTGTCTGTCTGTCTGTCTGTCTGTCTGTCTGTCTGTCTGTCTGTCTGTCTGTCTGTCTGTCTGTCTGTCGTCTGTCTGTCTGTCTGTCTGTCTGTCTGTCTGTCTGGTCTGTCTGTCTGTCTGTCTGTCTGTCTGTCTGTCTGTCTGTCTGTCTGTCTGTCTGTCTGTCTGTCTGTCTGTCTGTCTGTCTGTCTGTCTGTCTGTCTGTCTGTCTGTCTGTCTGTCTGTCTGTCTGTCTGTCTGTCTGTCTGTCTGTCTGTCTGTCTGTCTGTCTGTCTGTCTGTCTGTCTGTCTGTCCTGTCTGTCTGTCTGTCTGTCTGTCCTGTCTGTCTGTCCTGTCTGTCTGTCTGTCTGTCTTGTCTGTCTGTCTGTCTGTCTGTCTGTCTGTCCTGTCTGTCTGTCTGTCTGTCTGTCTGTCTGTCTGTCTGTCTGTCTGTCTGTCTGTCTGTCTGTCTGTCTGTCTGTCTGTCTGTCCTGTCTGTCTGTCTGTCTGTCTGTCTGTCTGTCTGTCTGTCTGTCTGTTTCTGTCTGTCTGTCTGTCTGTCTGTCTGTCTGTCTGTCTGTCCTGTCTGTCTCTGTCTGTCTGTTCTGTCTGTCTGTCTGTCTGTCTGTCTGTCTGTCTGTCTGTCTTGTCTGGTCTGTCTGTCTGTTTGTCTGTCTGTGCTGTCTGTCTGTCCTGTCTGTCTGTCTGTCTGTCTGTCTGTTCTGTCTGTCTGGTCTGTCTGTCTGTCTGTCTGTCTGTCTCTGTCTGTCTGTCTGTCCTGTCTGTCTTGTCTGTCCTGTCTGTCTGTCTGTCTGTCCTGTCTGTCTGTCTGTCTGTCTGTCTGTCTGTCTGTCTGGTCTGTCTTGTCTGTCTGTCTGTCCTGTCTGTCTGTCTGTCTGTCTGGTCTGTCTGTCTGTCTGTCTGTCTGTCTGTCGTCTGTCTGTCTGTCTGTCTGTCTGTCTGTCTGTTCTGTTCTGTCTGTCTGTCTGTCTGTCTGGTCTGTCTGTCTGTCTGTCTGTCTGTCTGTCTGTCTGTCCTGTCTGTCTGTCTGTCTGTCTGTCTGTCTGTCTGTCTTGTCTGTCTGTTGTCTGTGTCTGTCTGTCTGTCTGTCTGTCTGTCTGTCCTGTCTGTTCTGTTGTCTGTCTGTTCTGTCTGTCTGTCTGTCTGTCTGTCTGTCTGTCTGTCTGTCTGTCTGTCTGTCTGTCTGTCTGTCTGTCTGTCTGTCTGTCTGTCTGTCTGTCTGTCTGTCTGTCTGTCTGTCTGTCTGTCTGTCTGTCTGTCTGTCTGTCTGTCTGTCTGTCTGTCTGTCTGTCTGTCTGTCTGTCTGTCTGTCTGTCTGTCTGTCTGTCTGTCTGTCTGTCTGTCTGTCTGTCTGTCTGTCTGTCTGTCTGTCTGTCTGTCTGTCTGTCTGTCTGTCTGTCTGTCTGTCTGTCTGTCTGTCTGTCTGTCTGTCTGTCTGTCTGTCTGTCTGTCTGTCTGTCTGTCTGTCTGTCTGTCTGTCTGTCTGTCTGTCTGTCTGTCTGTCTGTCTGTCTGTCTGTCTGTCTGTCTGTCTGTCTGTCTGTCTGTCTGTCTGTCTGTCTGTCTGTCTGTCTGTCTGTCTGTCTGTCTGTCTGTCTGTCTGTCTGTCTGTCTGTCTGTCTGTCTGTCTGTCTGTCTGTCTGTCTGTCTGTCTGTCTGTCTGTCTGTCTGTCTGTCTGTCTGTCTGTCTGTCTGTCTGTCTGTCTGTCTGTCTGTCTGTCTGTCCGTCTGTCTGTCTGTCTGTCTGTCTGTCTGTCTGTCTGTCTGTCTGTCTGTCTGTCTGTCTGTCTGTCTGTCTGTCTGTCTGTCTGTCTGTCTGTCTGTCTGTCTGTCTGTCTGTCTGTCTGTCTGTCTGTCTGTCTGTCTGTCTGTCTGTCTGTCTGTCTGTCTGTCTGTCTGTCTGTCTGTCTGTCTGTCTGTCTGTCTGTCTGTCTGTCTGTCTGTCTGTCTGTCTGTCTGTCTGTCTGTCTGTCTGTCTGTCTGTCTGTCTGTCTGTCTGTCTGTCTGTCCGTCTGTCTGTCTGTCTGTCTGTCTGTCTGTCTGTCTGTCTGTCTGTCTGTCTGTCTGTCTGTCTGTCTGTCTGTCTGTCTGTCTGTCTGTCTGTCTGTCTGTCTGTCTGTCTGTCTGTCTGTCTGTCTGTCTGTCTGTCTGTCTGTCTGTCTGTCTGTCTGTCTGTCTGTCTGTCTGTCTGTCTGTCTGTCTGTCTGTCTGTCTGTCTGTCTGTCTGTCTGTCTGTCTGTCTGTCTGTCTGTCTGTCTGTCTGTCTGTCTGTCTGTCTGTCTGTCTGTCTGTCTGTCTGTCTGTCTGTCTGTCTGTCTGTCTGTCTGTCTGTCTGTCTGTCTGTCTGTCTGTCTGTCTGTCTGTCTGTCTGTCTGTCTGTCTGTCTGTCTGTCTGTCTGTCTGTCTGTCTGTCTGTCTGTCTGTCTGTCTGTCTGTCTGTCTGTCTGTCTGTCTGTCTGTCTGTCTGTCTGTCTGTCTGTCTGTCTGTCTGTCTGTCTGTCTGTCTGTCTGTCTGTCTGTCTGTCTGTCTGTCTGTCTGTCTGTCTGTCTGTCTGTCTGTCTGTCTGTCTGTCTGTCTGTCTGTCTGTCTGTCTGTCTGTCTGTCTGTCTGTCTGTCTGTCTGTCTGTCTGTCTGTCTGTCTGTCTGTCTGTCTGTCTGTCTGTCTGTCTGTCTGTCTGTCTGTCTGTCTGTCTGTCTGTCTGTCTGTCTGTCTGTCTGTCTGTCTGTCTGTCTGTCTGTCTGTCTGTCTGTCTGTCTGTCTGTCTGTCTGTCTGTCTGTCTGTCTGTCTGTCTGTCTGTCTGTCTGTCTGTCTGTCTGTCTGTCTGTCTGTCTGTCTGTCTGTCTGTCTGTCTGTCTGTCTGTCTGTCTGTCTGTCTGTCTGTCTGTCTGTCTGTCTGTCTGTCTGTCTGTCTGTCTGTCTGTCTGTCTGTCTGTCTGTCTGTCTGTCTGTCTGTCTGTCTGTCTGTCTGTCTGTCTGTCTGTCTGTCTGTCTGTCTGTCTGTCTGTCTGTCTGTCTGTCTGTCTGTCTGTCTGTCTGTCTGTCTGTCTGTCTGTCTGTCTGTCTGTCTGTCTGTCTGTCTGTCTGTCTGTCTGTCTGTCTGTCTGTCTGTCTGTCTGTCTGTCTGTCTGTCTGTCTGTCTGTCTGTCTGTCTGTCTGTCTGTCTGTCTGTCTGTCTGTCTGTCTGTCTGTCTGTCTGTCTGTCTGTCTGTCTGTCTGTCTGTCTGTCTGTCTGTCTGTCTGTCTGTCTGTCTGTCTGTCTGTCTGTCTGTCTGTCTGTCTGTCTGTCTGTCTGTCTGTCTGTCTGTCTGTCTGTCTGTCTGTCTGTCTGTCTGTCTGTCTGTCTGTCTGTCTGTCTGTCTGTCTGTCTGTCTGTCTGTCTGTCTGTCTGTCTGTCTGTCTGTCTGTCTGTCTGTCTGTCTGTCTGTCTGTCTGTCTGTCTGTCTGTCTGTCTGTCTGTCTGTCTGTCTGTCTGTCTGTCTGTCTGTCTGTCTGTCTGTCTGTCTGTCTGTCTGTCTGTCTGTCTGTCTGTCTGTCTGTCTGTCTGTCTGTCTGTCTGTCTGTCTGTCTGTCTGTCTGTCTGTCTGTCTGTCTGTCTGTCTGTCTGTCTGTCTGTCTGTCTGTCTGTCTGTCTGTCTGTCTGTCTGTCTGTCTGTCTGTCTGTCTGTCTGTCTGTCTGTCTGTCTGTCTGTCTGTCTGTCTGTCTGTCTGTCTGTCTGTCTGTCTGTCTGTCTGTCTGTCTGTCTGTCTGTCTGTCTGTCTGTCTGTCTGTCTGTCTGTCTGTCTGTCTGTCTGTCTGTCTGTCTGTCTGTCTGTCTGTCTGTCTGTCTGTCTGTCTGTCTGTCTGTCTGTCTGTCTGTCTGTCTGTCTGTCTGTCTGTCTGTCTGTCTGTCTGTCTGTCTGTCTGTCTGTCTGTCTGTCTGTCTGTCTGTCTGTCTGTCTGTCTGTCTGTCTGTCTGTCTGTCTGTCTGTCTGTCTGTCTGTCTGTCTGTCTGTCTGTCTGTCTGTCTGTCTGTCTGTCTGTCTGTCTGTCTGTCTGTCTGTCTGTCTGTCTGTCTGTCTGTCTGTCTGTCTGTCTGTCTGTCTGTCTGTCTGTCTGTCTGTCTGTCTGTCTGTCTGTCTGTCTGTCTGTCTGTCTGTCTGTCTGTCTGTCTGTCTGTCTGTCTGTCTGTCTGTCTGTCTGTCTGTCTGTCTGTCTGTCTGTCTGTCTGTCTGTCTGTCTGTCTGTCTGTCTGTCTGTCTGTCTGTCTGTCTGTCTGTCTGTCTGTCTGTCTGTCTGTCTGTCTGTCTGTCTGTCTGTCTGTCTGTCTGTCTGTCTGTCTGTCTGTCTGTCTGTCTGTCTGTCTGTCTGTCTGTCTGTCTGTCTGTCTGTCTGTCTGTCTGTCTGTCTGTCTGTCTGTCTGTCTGTCTGTCTGTCTGTCTGTCTGTCTGTCTGTCTGTCTGTC